GTTCCTCATAATGAAGTATTGTTCATATTTAATCTTGCAGATGAAATCGAAAATTCGACCAAAGACGTAGACATGTGTTTTTACTTTGCCGGAGTTATCTTCTTCCTGTCAGCTTCCGCCATCGTGTTGGCCTACCGCTTACACCTGCGTTGGACCAAACCTGCGAATGCCCCGGATAACCCAGACGAAAACCCTCCTCAGGAACAGGGGAGTACTCCGATGGTCACGGAAAGATTCTGATAACAGCAAGTTGAGGCATATCTTGTGGAACATATTTCACAACCTGACCAGAAATGTTAGAGATGTTTAAAAGGGTTTATGCATATACGTCTAAGAGGTCTGACTCAAAGCATAAAAAGATTAAAAGTTTCAAAGAGCATCATACCACTATTGCTCGAAAGATGATCGATTAAGATTATAACATGTAATGTCTCAGTAAGCTTTCAGAGTGGTTTATGGTACAGGCGTGGTGGACATTTTCAAATTTGACGCATTGGTGTTTGATAGTGATTCAAAAACACAGGCTCGTGATAATACTGTCCAAATCGCTCAATCAACGCTGCTCTTGGCAAAGGTTTCTTATGGATGTGGAAAGTGTTTTGTTGCTTTGATTCAATATGACATTATCTGTTTGACCTCGTTTATTCAAATGTGTCTATTTGTCGAATGATGTGCTTCCCTGATGTCAGATGTCAGACATAATTATATATTTCTACCACTTTGTTTTTCAACATTCATTTTGATGTGTGTCATGCTTGATTGGCCTATTTCGGATACATCGCTTATATGCAGACGCATGGGCATCCGTTAAATCAAATATGCATTGAATATGTTTCTGTATCTCTAACAGTACCTGCCTGTATGCTACAGTATTAAAGACTCCTTTAACGTACACATTATTGCTTTCTTTTGTTCAGGCTAATATCGACTTGGAACTATGATAAGTCGATATGGACTCAATAGGCCATATTACCAATCAAACACGAATCCGCTTACCCATGACCAAAACAAGTGCATCGTACCCCATATGAAAAATCAATGTTTTATTCATCAAAATGTCACTAGTAAAGAGACGTGTTTTGGTTTTTCATTTTTGCTATATTTTTTAATGTGATTTTCTTTAAAAAAAACAGGCAGGGATTGTGTGGTACCAAGCAAAATAACTCTCTGTAAACGGGTGTTTACGGAACGAATACAAGAGAGTAATGGACATTAGTTTAGATTTTACAACCAAAGGTAAAGCTGACAGCTGGTTTTGGGAGAAATTTGTTTCGCTAGTACAATGGCCTTATTTGATTTGCCACTTATACCCCATTTGTGTTTATGTCAGTGGGAACACCTCTTTCATATAGGACCAAAGTTACTTTAAGTGACGGATGGCTGGGATAGAATGGGTATTTCCTCTTTCTTAGTTTGTGAATCATACCTATTCCAATGTCGCACACTGACTCTGAAAGACATTCAACAGGTTCATTATCTCCTTTAGTCCTGTGTGTTGGCATATTCTTCAACAGTATCTGTTCACACTGATTTGTTGTGATCCCTATAGATGGAAGACCTTCCGTGATATTAGTCGTAGTTTGAATAACTGACAAACGTGGTTATTTTCAACAGTAGAGATGTCACCAGTTATTATATGACCAACTTGTTGGTAGGAGCAGTTAGTGGAATATACATTATTGGCTCTTCAGCTCGTTCCTGCAATTTAACATTTTGGTGTTTGTACAGGAAATAAAAACCGTTGAGAGTTTCTGAAATCTGAAATATCGAAGTACAGTCCTGAAACGGACATTGTAAATGTGGATGTTCTAATGTAAAACGGGCCTACCACATACCTCGTCCTTCTTTTCGCTACCCCCCAACCAAAGCCTGCACGTAACAAAAAACACACTTCCATTGCTCTGTAAATGATAATTGTAAAAAACATAAAATGAATGTACTTACCAAGTCATAGATGTTTAGAACATTAAGAGCATGTTATAACAGATGCCAAGTATGTCATCTCAAGTGTATTGTACATATGGTTGAACATGAATTTCATTACGAGAAAATGTCGCGAGACCTTTATTATTGGGCGTCACTTTTTGCCTTGTTAATGGCAAACGTAATCTATTGCTTTGAAATACACGTTTGCCCTGAGTTCAGCCACAACACATATCACACCATTATTCACAGAAGTAATGTATATATCATGTTTGTGTGAGTGCCCACTGAGCGAGTTAGTTTTTTGTTTCTTGTTTGGTGCCATATTCAGTAATATTCCAGCTATGCTGCAGCTAGAGTAAGTGAGTGGATACATTTATATTAAGATAAGATAAGTTAATAATTTATTACCCAAAAGGGAATTTTGTGTACATTAGAGGAAATTGGCATGTTAAAACAGGGAGCACAATACAAACAGACATAGAAACATAAACAATAATATTTACAACATCCAAAGCAATAGCACATGTAGATTCCCCAAAAGTTAAACATAATAAGTTATGACAATAACTTCGAGCCAAGCACAACAGATAACAAAATATTTAAGATTGGTTTAAAAGAGATATACCAACAGGAATATAAGATTGTTTTGCTCTCTTAGATTAACATTGGGATAAGATATCTTCGAGCAGAGGGTAGAAGCTTATAACAAGAGATAAACCAGGAGATGGGTCATATTCTTAGATTAGAAACACTTGAAATTTATAGAGTTTCTAAAATAAATCACAAGAGGCTATTTTCCCAGCAACTGTCACAACTCTATTCAGTTTGTTCTTGTTCTGGAATAAAGGTCCATACCTGAGTGAGTGAGTATGTTTAGTCTTACGCCGCACTGAGAATTTTCCAGCTATATGGCGGCGGAATATAAGATTATCGACTAGACAATCCAGTGATCAACAGCATGAGCATCGATCTGCGCAATTGGGAACCGATGACATGTGTCAACCAAGTCAGCGAGCCTGACCACCCGATCCCGTTAGTCGCCATTTACGACAAGCATAGTCGCCTAGGCCTTTTATGGCAAGCATGGGTTGCTGAAGACCTATTCTACCCCGGATCTTCAAGGGTAGGTCCATACCAGGACTGTATTGAGAACGTTAAAATAGATTGAATGCATGATTTGTAGAACAGTTCCATAATGGTAGAGTCTATTTGGAATGGATAATTAGTCATGGGATACATATTGCCTGAGGTGGTGCTACCTGCAGCGTTGATTTCCATCCCTCATCTACCTATCGTAGCTTTTAGTGGGTTCAAATCTCATATTTACAATCTGCTTAAAGGTTGGTAGTAATCGACAAACATAATCATTTCGCAATCTCTGTGGACTACAGCAGGGAACGACAAGCCAATATATTTAACGGATTTGAAACAGAGACAAACATACGTGTCAATGCTTTGGCTGTTAACTAAACAGTAACTTGTCTAGCATCGTTTATTCTAGGTCTGACTGGAATCAGTATATCTAATGAATTGGCAATAAGGGTACATGAACACACAATAGTTAAATCGATCACATAAAGCATACATACAACTACACTGATGATTCAATAGATTGGTTCGTAGTGTTAACTATCTGGAGTTTATAGTGTTCTCATAATTGTACCCTGTTTTCTTCCATGATGGGACTGATACCACTACTATATAACGGTAAGATTTTGTCATGGACATTTTTGACTTTTGAAACATTCTTGGCAAGAATTCATAGGCAGGAATGTGGATTGCCGAAATAGTCAAAAGTCATTTGAACAGAACTCTTCTATCATGATAAAAGAGTGGTTTTAAAAACAGTTGGATGGGGAGACAGATAGACTAAGACACTGGGAAGTAAATTGGCGTTTGTATCCTTAGCCGATAGTTTAAGTAGTCTTTCATTCAGGCGTTTGTTGTACACTTGGAAATATTTTTCTTAATCTCTTTTCGAAATATATTCATTGTCAGATATAACCATAGTTGCTTCATGGTTACAAAGATGGGGATGCGTTTACATTCAGACAGTATATGGACTTCAAATATTAGAAACCTTATTTGCCTATGGTCATGGTATTGTCTGGTTGTCCCGCACAGTTGGTAATGTTCGTATGTATCAGAAAGAGTTGCGGGAACTTTCCATACATATATTTTTCAAAACCGACATTAACATATAAATGAATGTACATACAAAGATGGGGATGCGTTTACATTCAGACAGTATATGGACTTCAAATATTAGAAACCCTATTTGCCTATGGTCATGGTATTGTCTGGTTTTCACACACAGTTGGTAATGTTCGTATGTATCCGAAAGAGTTGCGGGAACTTTCCATACATATATTTTTCAAAACCGACATTAACATTTAAATGAATGTACACCATGCAAATCATACAGATCCTTTAGAAGTCTCATTGAACGTACAACATATCCTGTCCTTCTTACGTCTGTAAAATAACGCGAGTTATTTGTCAGATTTAGAAGTATAGAGATTGAAATCCACTATATTTTCACAAGTCCAGGTACCTGCGAAACAAAATCTTGAACGGAGGATGTTCACCTTTGCACTCATGGACATGGGTCTCAGCTTTAGATAATGATGTTGATGTGCTGGTTGTCTTGTTGTATTTCCTATTTATGTAATCATTGCTGATCATTTTTGTAAATTTCGTTCAATTCGAACAACAACTGCTTGGTTACCTGTCTTCGACCATTTAACACACTTTTTCTCTGGTTCGAATGAAGAAATTCCATGTCACAATAACCTTTGCCTGTGAGTATATATCGAAACTTCTGAAGCACCGCGCGTAACGTGTGCAAGTTGCACTATAGATTGTTAGTCTGCAACATTATACAATAAACCTCTTCTTCTTTTTCTTCTTGAAATAGCATTTATTGGTGAAAGTCAGTTGGTTTGAAATCCTGTCTAATGTTGAAGTGAAACAAACAGATGGACAAACTGAACAAACTGATCCTGAAAGTCTTACCCCGTCATCATATGTGATAACAAAAGTGAGAAAGTTGTAACACGTCCATGAGCGCTGAGATGAGTGTGCAGGACGACAAGGACAAAGGTTCCAAAATGTCAACGGAAGAAGCAGGGACAAAGGTAGGTGTGTGTTTGTAAGGTATAATAATCTGCTTCACGTTTTCAATTCCCATTTCAAAGTAAGAATGTGTACATATTCACTATTGAACTATGAATATATCTGATGACAGTATTTATAGACATTTAGGGGTTGTTACATTTTTTGACAAAGAACATAATTCCCCTGATACGTTATTATTCAATATATTATTGGATATTTTAGACTTGTCTGTGTTCTATTTTTTTGTTTCAAAGGGGACTCACAAACGTTTTGTCACGGCGATGTCTAATCCGTAACAATGTGGTGGTCCCTCCTACTTTGTACACAATTAAAGTATTGACTTGAATAGATTACATGTACGCTTTATTCAAAATGCTGACACATCAGTTGTATCAAAAAGCCCGAAAGCCAAATGATATCATTGACTTGTAAGAATTTGCCCCTTCTGCAGGAAGGAACAAAACCGTGGTTGAAAGATCTCAAAATACTCATACTAAAGCACATTTCTTGATGAAGAACCAACAGTATTAATTGTTCTTATAGTCATTTGCGAAATGTTGTCATTTGTAGAATGCACAAACTGACACAATAGAGAGAACCACTCTACGCCAGCCCCAGAAAACATGTTTCAATTGTTCAATATGTCAAGATCTCAGATTACATAACCATTGTTTGTATGTATCATTGCTTGTTTGATCAAAGCACTAAGAGTGACATATCAGAGAATGTTACATACAAAGACAGTATTTCTCAGATGACTTAACCTTTTATGTATATGCAACATTACATTAACTGTTTGATCAAAGTGGTTTGAGTGACGTATCAGAGAATGCCCCATACTAAAAACTGGAGATATGTTAATACTTCTATTGTATTGGCTTCTGATCTCAACAGACATCATTACAAAGAGAGACACATTGCTGGGTCCATCACTTGTACCATAAAATCCCTGCCATATAGATAAACAACAAGTCTTAATACAATCAAGAAAGGACGTTTGTGTATATATAGAACGTATTTGAGACAATCAATCAGGATTCTTAAAACCTCAAACGATTTGCTTGATGAGTTACCATTTAAGAAAGAGGAAAGTTCAATTGTGTCATAAATGAAATGACATGATGATATCATGCAAGGACATGCGAAGAGACCGAATGTGCTCCTCTCCATTGTGATCTGATTCTCGTGTGCATACAAGTCAAATTTTCTCTTAGGTTTGGCAAAAATCAAAAGACGTTTCTCTACATTTAACAACATTGGATGAAAATCTCTTTCAAAACAATACTGAGAGAAACAAATACGGGATCACAGGATAATTCAAGCGTTCCTTTAATATGTTCTTGTTTTCATCACCACCGCGCTATTCAAAGCTGGTGATGAAAACTAGAACATATTAAAGGAACACTTGAATTTTCCTGTGATCCTTTATTTGTTTCACTCAGTATATAATAGTATTGACGTCACACCATACAAGGCCCCATTTAAGCTTTCAAATACATTGAGCAAGCATATATATATTTCATCACAAATGTATTTGATTGCTTGATATCTGCATACACGTGAGATTGATTCCACAATCAGGGGTGTTAGTGATACGATTTCATAGCTGAATTATCGGTTCAGTCGTTAATTTCCAACCCACGTCAATGAGTATGTTTTATTGCTAAGTCCTGCAATGTCAGTGCTAGGCTACTTGACAATAATTACTATTTAAAAAAACGTGATTAAGAGAATCCGCCCCTTTGCTTTCGATGCTGCTGCTTTCGACCTGCATGTCATTGTGCCTTAGTTTTTCAATCTGTGATATATTCAGCCCAGATCCAACCGGACATGCTGATATACTATAAATGCAAGTTCATTTCATTGATGACAATTTCGTCATTCTATTTGTAGCTGACTTTTCGGAGTCTTGAAAACGGCTTAAATATCTCCTCATAATAGAATACAGAAGTAAATATATCTATATAAAAAGGTTATCTTGTTTTTATTACTTGCAAACTTATAATAATACCAAACTATTCTCGCTGAAAGAACGTTGAGTCTGCCGTAAAATAACATTCAATCACTCATGAGTAGATTTGCATTTTGTTGACTCGTATACATTGTACCGAATCAGGGAACGAACAAACACACATTCTGTTTGTGTGAGTGGCTGATGCTAAGGTTAGCTAGGACACTTATCATGCTACCCGTTTTCGCGAAAACCTGGTACTATTTGAAAGAGGCAAGTTCAATTGTGGATTATTGACACACCGTCGTCATTGAGCTCGAATACTGCTGATTGGGGCGTTAAAACTTAAAACAAATAAATTTAACATCACTGATTTTGCCATAAATCCTGAACAGTTTTAAGGATTCTGGGCCAAGGCTCGATCATCATAACATTATCAATAGGAATACTATGGTTACTCAATTCAGTGTCCAGGAAAAAGCTAAACTACATGATGGAAGTGTATCTGGTTGTATAGGTGCCCCAAGTATTCTTTCATGCTTGGTTGTTTTTGAGGGATGTCCTGTGCCTCCTTTCACAAAGCACTAAGGTGATCGTAAGTGACTTAGGTAACCTTAGTGCAATGTTAGTTCAAAGAATGGGAGTTAAGGTTAACCTTAGTAAAGGTTGCTTCGTGAAAGCAGCCCCTGAGGATCTTTGGGTGAATTGTGTCGTTTTGTGCAAGTTTGGGGAATATGTTTGTTTCACCATACATACACAGGTGTAGTACCAATACAAAAGGTCATTTTCGAGCACCTACTGGGATCAGACCCCGATTTCTCGAAACAAACTTAAGTCTGAGTTTTTACTTAAGTTAGAGTTTTACTCAAATTTGATAAAACGCAGGAAAATTCATTTCCCAAAATGAACTGAAATTGATATTAAATTCAAACATAGTATGATGTCTTTTAGGGGCAATTAGAAGTTGTACGTAGATGTCCAAGATATTTGTATGGATTAAACTTTTTTTTATTCCCCACAACATGAAGCTGCGGGGGATATAGAACACTTTCACACTTTCTCCGAAGCATATCTCCTGAACTATTAGTGAAAGCCGAACCAAACTTGGTACACATGTCAACCATGATCCCTAGATGTGTCTTTTGGGGATTAGACCCAGATGTGAATTTCATTTTTGCGGTTTCCATGGAAACATGACTTAGGCTGTGACTATGAGGATGCCATCTTGTCCGGAGCGCAGATCTCCTAAACTATACATGCTGGCTTCATCAAACTTGGTACACATATCAAGCATGATCCCTAGACGTGCGTTTTGGGGGTTAGACCCAGATATGAATGATATGTTTTGCTGTTTCCATGGAAACATGACTTAGGCTGTGACTATGAGGATGTCATCTTGTTGCATTTCCATGGCATCAAGTTAGGCTTTTACTGAATTTGGTGGTAGTGCAGATCTTAAAAACCTTTCACTACTCTCCTTCCACTTTGCTGTATACACACCAAAACATTGATATAATCATAATTAGTAGACCATATTCATAAAGAGTATTCTGCCGTTGCGGGGATATTGATGACTTTGTCTTCTTGTTTATTTCCCTCACAACGTTTCGGGATCATTCCAGGTCCCTTCATCAGTTCACCTGATGAACGGTCACGAAACGTTGTGAGGGAAAATAAAAATGAAGTTTAATCCATAAAATTATCTTGGACATCAAACATAGTAGACAATTTGAGTGTGGTGGATAGATTAATTAGGTTGTTTGGGCTTTTTTATTTTAAAAATGCAGTTGGGTTAAAAAATCCAATTGTTTCAAATTGTCAATCTCAGTTTGAAATTTGAGTACAAACTTAAGTTTATTTCGAGCAATCGGGACCCTACTCACAAATGGTAATAGTGCCAGCTCCGACTACTCTTTGGATCTGTGTCTCTGAGTTTTGTTTATATTTCAGGTATTTACCATGGACTCCGGAACTGGTCTAGAACTGACCATCTCGACAGCTGATGCGGTTGCAGATCCCCCAGATGGGGGAAAGGCGTGGTGTTTAGTATTCTTTGCTATGATTTTAGCAACTTTGAAGAAAACATTCATCGATCTTCAGCCTAAGGTTGTGTTGTTTATGGAAAGTACAAACAGTTCATCATCTGGAGGAGAACTGTATAGTCAGCCGTTTTCCCCAAACGTGACTGTGGAGGCACAAATAGTTGATACCACTTATAAGGCTCTGTATGCAGTGTCAGGTAAGCTATGAACATAAAGTATTAAATCCAATCATATGAACCAAAGTTCAGCTACCAGCTATATAGAACTATTTTCATACAAAATGTCAACAATATTAACTCCCACACTGCTCATTGAATTATTAAGACAAAGGAGTAGACAATGATAAGAATTATTTCTTCAATCTACCCCCTTTCCTGAATACCATACAGTTAGTTATATTTATATTGACGGTTAAAGACCACTTTTTCCAATATATTGCTAGATTATTCATTATTTTGTAAACCTCGGACAGTGCTATCAATCAGTAACATATCGTCAGCGAAGAGTAACATGAAAGGTCGACAGACACCAAGGTCAATACATCTAACTTCATCAACATCAAGAAATTCAGTAATACCATTAGCATACAATGAAAATAGCAGTGGTGATAGTTGGCAACCCTGTTTTGATCCTTCACACAGTGAAACAGTTGTGTGCAGCCATCTTGCAATGATATACATGATTGAACATTTGTGTACATATTTATAATTAATCTAAACATTTTACCTTTCACATTGCCAGTCTAAATTATACACAGGTTTATCAAACATGTTCTTTGAATGGAATCAAATGCAGCTTTAAGATAAAAAACAACAACAGTATAGTCTGTCCTTAAATAAAGACAAATATTAGTGACCAATGTATCTAACACAAATATATTGTGCTTGAAAGAGTTTATAGAGTTCATAAATTGTTAAAAAGATATCAAGTTAAGATGACACTACTCCCACTTTAAAACAGATATGAAGGTGATACTTCAAAACAGACCAGATGTTTGTTTCAGTTTTCGTCTTCTGTACCAGTAGCAGACATCATGGCTGGTCTGTTGTCAAGGGACATGGATGTTTTTGTGTGGTACCATTTTATATGACGGGTCGGTACGTTCTAGGTTCGAGTCGGCAGTTCTGAAGTGAAAAATGGAAATCCTGATGGTTTCGGCCAATCCGATTACCTAAACGGCTGGTGGTGTAAAGTTTTCAAACTTGCTAGTGTTCAGAATCAACCGTGATATTAACACAATTAATCGTACGCGACACTCTGTCTTCCATGACCATGCCAATTGTTTCAGAGAATGTGAATGCGATCAATGAATATACGAACGAAGCTACCGAAGATGAACGATGAAGTTGAAATTTCTCTGTTTCACACACACAAACAGACAGACAGACACACACACACACACCCTAAAACCAAGAACAACACACACAACAAAAACACACACTAACACATAGAAACACACACTAGCACACACACACCCATTCAAACAACACACACACACACACACGGTTATCGTCTAATTGCATACGGGGCGGTGGGGTAGCCTAGTTGTTAAAGCGTTCGCTCGTCACGCCGAAGACCCGGGTTCTATTCCCCACATGGGCACAATGTGTGAAGCCAATTTTTGGTGTTCCCCGCCGTGATATTGCTGGAATATTGCAAAAATGCGGCGTAAAACTCAACTCACTCACTCCCTAATTGCATACTGTGACTACGCCCAACGAGTCTCTGTTATGATTTACTAACTGTATTTTGGGATGGAACATATAACCAATCTTATCATTTCATCATCGCGTTACAGGAATCCTAAGCGGAATTCTGACTGTCTTGACTGGTTACCGGTGGATGGCGCTGATCGGAAGTTTTCTGACGGCCCTGGGGTATCTCGGAGCCGCATTCTCCGACATTTCTAATGTCCATCTCATATCTTTCCTGTACGGGGCACTACCAGGTTAGCAGTGTCCAATACTATGTCTGTAAGGCTACAGCCCGAGGGTTTAATATTACGAAGTTTGTGGTACGTGGTTATGTATAAGCCGAAAACACAAACTGGTATTACTTCAGAAGACTTTCCTAAATGCAGGGGATCGATGGTATCTGGAGTTTAGGCAGAGATGTAGACTAATCCATACACATCACATCAGTCCTTCCTGCATTCCGCTACGAATTTTTAAGAATTCCGAGGCAAATCTAAGTTAATTCTGCATCCCAATTTTCAAAATTCTGCAAACAATTCTGCAGTTAAAAGCTTGAAAAAACACGCACAAAATAATGAAATTTCAATCTTCAAAAACATTGATTTTGTGAACATAATTGCAGTGTCAGGTTAAAATGATATTATTGTTAGGTGCTTAAAAAATGAATAAATCATATTTATTCGTGAATATTTTGAAAATATCGTTATAACAAGTGTCTCAGTTCGTTTTTGTGTAATCAGTCATACTTGCGACATTTACCCCTACTTTCCTTTTCGGTTGATAGTCAATCTTGATTCAACTTTCCAAATAAGTAAATTCCGCGGCAGAAAAATGGCAAATTCTGCATAAAAATGCGGTTTTCCGCGGACTAGACGTTTTTCTGCATCAAAAGGTAATTTCCGCGATTTATTCTGCAACCGCGGTATCGCGGAATCCAGGAGTGACTGTCACATAGATGCTAATTTGAATTCAGTACAGATGTCAGTCTGTTTATTTGCCACCTCAATACATTTTCTGGGTTTTCACCAAAGCTGATAACATTTCATAATGAGCATATTAATTATAATGTTTTGCATAATTGCTAACATCGTCCTGTGTCATACTTCAGGTATCGGGCACAACCTGATCGAAGTGGCAATCTTTTCGGCAATACTGCAGTACTTCAGAAAACGCCGACTGTTGGCTCTCCTCATCCCAAGTGGTGGTGGTTACTTTGGATCTGTCGTTGCCAACGTCATGGCAACCTTCTTTTCTGGATTGCCTGGCATCAACATCTGGAAGAGTTATCTGCTCGTCCAAGCGGGTGCTGCTTGTGTAATGATTCCGTGTAGTTTCTTTCTGAAACCCCTGAATGTCCGGATGAAGCGTCGAGCAAATCAAAGTCTGCTATCTTTTTTTATGGATATGGATGAGCTGAAGGTGTTCCGATCTATTCTACTCTACGTCTTCGCGGCGAACTGTTGTTTGTGGGACGGAGGTAAGAAATAACGCGCACGAAATGAATTATGATCAAGAGCAAGAACTATGTTGACACAATACAGAATGGACGATATACTTAGCCTTCGTCTTAAATTATAGCAGTTTGTGTAATTTTGTGTTTTTATCAATATTCTTGAAATGAGCATTTCTCTTTGCGACACCCACTAGAGCTAGAACTTCTTCTTCCAAGAGGTTTCACAATTGTTCAAATGTTAAAGAATTTTTAATTGTTTTACTGTGCAGTAGATCTCCATCCTGGTCATACTCTCTCTATTGCAATCTGACCCGTGAACTGGTATTCAGTAACCCATGCTTGTCGTAAGAGGCGACAAACGGAATCGGTTGGTCAGCTTCGCTGACTTGGTTGACACATCCCATCATATCACAATTGTGTTGATCGATGCGCATGCTGTTGATCACTGGATTGTATGGTCCAGACTCGATTATTTACAGATCGCCGCCATGTAGCTGGAATATTGCTGAGTGCGGCGTTAAACAACCCAACCAACTCTATTGCAATCTGTTTGGTTTTCTTCCTCAAATCTACCCGTGTCGCCAGGAACAGTTTAATCAGAAAGAATTAAGATAATGGAATAGATGTAAAAATTAGAATTGATCAACAAAATAGTGTGTTTTCTATGTAAAGGTATCAGTGTCATTGAGGCCAAACTACCGAGTTTCAAGGATCAGCGCTGGCACATCTCCACTGGTCAGTTGTTGATGGCAATCATAGGAGGGGTCAGTATTGTGGGCACCTGCTTCTCATGCTGTATCTGCAGTAATATCCGTCTGAGGAGTGTGGTCATTGCGATGGTCGTCTTCAGTGGAATCCTGTTCCTCCTCAACATGATGGCCAGTCTGTTGTATAACTTCATCTATTCCATCTGCTATTCCGTACTTGTAGGATTGCTAAAAGGTAAATAGCTTTTATATGGTCAGTTGTGACCTGTGAAATGTGTTACATGTTGATTCCCAAGTTGAAAGTTTATAGTTTACAGGGAATTGGTCCTAAGAGAAATATGTGTGAAACCAAAGTACATCCAAAAACATGCTGTAGTTAATTAAGAACTGTGTTGTAAAATTAAGTTCACAAATCCGTACAAATCAATACATAGGTGAGTGAGTGAGTTTAGTTTTACGATGGGATACGATGAGTAGTATTTATAGTGGGGGTTCTAATACCGGGGTATCACAATGGTTTTATTTGTGGTTAATTTTGTTCCCTCATGCCCCCCGAAAAAATTATGATTAAATTTTTGTGGAGCATGTGAGGCAGTGTGTCGCACATGTTTTTGTTGTTTTGTTTGTTTTTTATTCTGTTATTAATACTGGCTCACAAGTTTAAAAAAAAATTTATTCTAAGTAGTCGGTTACGTTTGTTGAGATAAACTTTTTGTTATCATAAATAAGTTGGTTTCTGACCACGTCTGCTCCGTGGGCTTTGCACAAACCATAATGACATTTCACTCTAATACCGCATACTGAACACGTGTAGTTCACAAAACCCTTTCTGATAGACATCATGTGTATCCTAAATTACTCGGTCCTGCATTTCTTGCCGCAAGTCTCGGCTTTTCCCAGAAGCTCATATTTGCAATGATACGGAGTGGGTCTCATCTTCTTTATATACACTTAGATATACGTTAGTCTAATTGATTGCCGATCAACACGGCCGTGGCTAACCCTAATGCCACGAAGATCAACTCACAATCTTTCTGTTCTGGAGAAAGGTGTGTAATACTGCGAGAGTGTGGGTTCGTTGCGGAGAGTTTCGAGTCGTTTTCCGGTGACGAGATAATACGCATGTATCACTTCGTCCACGTCCTTAAATGTTCGAACGGCGTGACCTTCTCATTGGAGTTCGTTGTGGATAAAATCTATCCTCTGCATGCATTTTTTTCGCGTAGCAGGCTTGTGCGGCTTGTAATTTCTCGATGGTTAAATCATGAGGTTTCCGTTCCGCTTCTATCTCGGCTGTGTAACATAACGTGTGGGTTTACCTCTAATTGTTTTGTTAATGGTTGGACCATCACCGGTGGTGTCGTCGTTTTGTTTTGTTGATATACCATACAGCTGCGGCGATACCCACGAAAGTGGCTGCCACGGCGTACGGTATAAATGGTGGCCAATTTATTCACAAACATGAAATGTGTTACTTTGACCATTTCTAAATCGCATTGTGTATCCAGACCCTTCAATAACTCCTCACAAGCTCGAACGGGTTTCAATATGCGGATGCTATTTTCTCATCTGGTTTGCCAACCTTTTCACACACATAGTTTTGTAACATTTAGCCACATCACGCCGCATGCTACGTCAAAACAGTCTGACAATATTTGGTACAAGGTGTTTCATATGCTGAACTCAAATTATGTTTCAAAAGAAGATATATAAGACTGGAACTTTGTCAGCTTCTTCTAAAGAGGGTGCCATATCCAGTTGTCCATTAGAAACTGTTGACTCGTAATATCATGATAAAACTAAAGTGTTATATCAATGCGGTTAAACCGTTGACGCGCCATGCCATGATATAGTTAATGTATTTTTTTCCAGCGATCAAACCGTTGACTAGTCAAGTCGTGCGGCTAAACCATTGGCCAAATCGTCTATTGTTGTGGCTATTGATTCCGAGCCAGAACTTTACTGGCCGGTTTAAGGTCCTATTTTAAACTGATGTAACTTTGGATCAGTATCCAAAATAATAACACGACAAGCCTTAAATCTCATTTTGGACTTGTGTTTTCTATATCCGTAATCAAAAGATGCGTGCGGTTGTTATCCATTACATCATCGTGGAGCCAACATCATCATGAAAAGTGGAACCTCATTACAAAATTCAGTTTCGAGATCACACGAAAAAAAACCTAACATCTGGCTTTTATTCCCATGGCACAGGTTTGGGAAACCCTTTGCTGGAGTATATAATGCCGCTGCTTCTCGGGGAGAACAACTCAGCCATCGGTGCAGCCATCATGTCCTGTGGTCAAGGCATTGGAAAACTGTCGATACCAGCCATAGCCAGTAAGCACTTCAGAACTGCTAACATTTGGTGCAGTTTGGGACAAAAATTCTAATCCAAAAACCAGTCGTGAGTATGGTATCGCGCTCCACAACCAACCCACAGTGAGTGAGTGAGTTTAGTTGTATGCCGCACTCGGCTGTATGTTTGCGGTCTGTAAATAATTGAGTCTGGACTAGACAATCCAGTGATCAACATCATGAGCCTCGATCTACGCATTTGGGATACGATGACATGTGTCAACCAAGTCAGCGAGCGTGACCACCAGATGCCGTAAGTCGCGTCTTACGACCAGCCTGGGTTACTGATGATCTATTCTAACCCGTTTCATCGCAGGTGCCAACCCATGAGAGTGCTGTTACAAATCCAACAGCTGTATTACGGTCATATAGTGTGTCCTGTACATGTACTCCTGTTCACAGTAGAATCTGTCCAAACAGGATTATTCGGATTAAAGAATTCGACCATACATTAGCTTAACTGACGTCACCCTGATTTCGGGTAAAAACTATTCATTTCTGTATCAACTGCTGTAAAGACAGACATCACTAAATGGTAAAGACTCATATGCAGTAATGCTCATCGGTTCCAAAAATTACTTTATTATCTACCACCATTGGTATTTCTCACAATAAAGGATCTTTCCTATTTTTTGTTACAGATGAAATCGAAAAGTCGACACAAAAAGTAGACTGGTGTTTTTACTTTGCCGGTGTTATCTTCTTCGTGTCAGCTTTCGTCATCGTCTTGACCTACCGCTTACACTTGCGTGTGACCAAATCTGAGGTAGCCCCGGATAACCCAGACGAAACGCCTACTCGGGAACTGGAGAGTACTGGGGTTGACTGGGAAAGGTTCTAATGACAGGCAGTCGAGTCACATCATGGAACAAATTACACCTGATCAGGAATTTTAGAGAGCTTTACATGCTGACTCCTCACTGAATCTAGTGAGCAAACCCCTAAGTGTGCATGTTATTGTAATCCAAGTTTTACGCTAACCTCCAGGAATATGTTTCTGAAGCCAAATATATACTTGTAATTGTTCCAGTTAAATACACATCTTATTTTCTATGTACGATATGTATGTATTTTATTTTAACACATTACCTATTGAACTTGTGATACAGTGGACCATGTTCAACGAGGCAGTGTAGTGACTGCTTTCTTTAACCTTTGTGTGATATCACGTCAATTGAAAGTGTCACATACAGTGGCAATAAAGGTTTTACGTATTTGATACTTGCCCAGTTTAATGAATAATTACCTGAGCTCTATAGCTCTCCGGAGAATAACACCGATATATATATATATATATATATATATAAGAGTGAACGGATTATATGCACGTCATTATATATATTTATATACTGAACATAAAAAGAAAAGTTTCGAAAAAATGAAACGGTATTCTTTATAAATGTTTGTGTCAAAAAACAGTTCAGCATTGACGCTAGGAGGTGTACACGCCACACAAACGATGCCTAGACTAACGACTGAGCAGAGGGGAATGGCGATTGGAAAGTTACACGGATGTAACTCTGCAACCGCGGTAGCTAGACAATTGGGCTGTCATTTTACCACCATTACACGACTTGCTCGACGTCATCAGCAAACCGGGGTTGCTGCTGATAGTCCCTGTACCGGACGGCAACGAGTGACAACGCATACGCAAGATCGGTTCATCCGGGTCACTCATCTAAGGAACCGAACTCAAGCAGCAACAGTAACAGCAGCCTTAGTTCTTGGGTCAAGGGGAGCAGTGTCCAGCGATACGATTAGGCGTCGTCTTCGGGCTGATGGAATCCACTGCCGAAGGCCATATGTGGGGCCAATTTTGGCACGTCAACAGCGCCAATGATGTTTGCAGCCCTCACACAGCAAGGGTGTCGATGGATTGTCTGGCTCAGAACATCATTAACATTTTGCCATGGCCATCTCTTTACCAGATAAGGCTCCCTTTACTGGATAAGGATTGGGGCAGGTAGACAGCCACTCACACTTGCACAATTCGAATAGAGATTGGTGTTTGGGCGGAACCAATTGCCTCAGGCATTCTTTCAGACTCTAGTGAACTCAATGAGGCCACGTTGCACGGCCTATGTGCAAGCTCAAGGTGGCTATACGCGCTACTAAAGAGACTGTCACCTTTAGCGTTCAGGGGTATCTCCATTTGACGGACTGTGATCAATTTGAACTTATTGCAATTCAATGTCAACAGCAACTTTTAGCTGTTAAATTGACAGTGTTTTCTATAGAATAATGATTAGACATGATTTTGGTTGTCTTCTATTCAAAAACTTGACAAAACGCCAGACTTGCGTTTCTTTTGCTGTTCAGTATATATAAACTGAACGCCAAAAGAAATTTTTAATTGTTTTTTACACTTTTGATTTGAATTTTTACATGATTGAAAATAGGACAATGGACCCCACCTAAACAAACATGTCGATATCCTAATTATCAATGACTTCCTCAGTCTGATGTTTTGACTCAATAGAGTTACATGATTGGTTGTTCAAACATACCAAACCAAAGTCTTCTATCCATATAACATTTTAGGATATTCTAATGTTCAGAGGTGTAACATTTCTTTTGGCGTTCAGTTTATACATATATGACATTGTGCATATAATCCGTTCATTTGTTAATGTTCATGTTATTTGTTGCATGAAAGGTATCAGGCCCTTACGCAAGGGTCATCCATAAAATGTCATGAAAGAAAGAACGTGACAAAAAGATATCATTACAAAGTGTGGGTGTTTTATCCTATTTTCTATGATTCAGATTGGCTAACGTTTAATCAAAATTGAATGCTATGATGACTACAGGAAATCGGAGGGGGTATTTTCAAAGGGGTGAGTTCCGGTGACCTTTACATTGACAAGAGCGTGTTTACAAATATAATCTAAAAATATAACATTGTAGGAGAACACCTTGCCCGCACCCTCGAGATTTACCACAATGCATGTACGTATTTAGGCCATTTTCAGTAACATTTCACTGACTAATACATACAATAAAACTAGCCTGTTTCTTGTTGTATTTGCCATTTACAAGAGATAAATTCTTACCTAGCTGAATCAGACAATGTGGAAATCTTTAAAGACAAAGTGTGATTCCGCTTGGAAGTTCATTTTGTAGGCATTGGCCTTGACTTTATATTTCCGAATGAAATCCTTTGAATTTTGTTCAGATGATGCGGGTGGGAATATGCACATTTATTCCGCTATAGACAACAAGAAAATGTTCATGGTAGAGTATGTGATTCCTTGGCTCCATCGGAAATAAGTGTTCTGTCTAATCCCTTAACATGACTCAACACCGTCATCTGATTTAAAAACACTTGTATGTAGGTGAAAAGACTCTACCAACTCCGATGATTTCTTTGGGTGGCATTTTAGAAGTTGGGGCTTACAATATTGAACAAACCTTATGGATAACAACTTCTTGTACCCTTGTTCCTGCCTGGCAACGGTACAAGAATCTGTATCGAAACGTCGCACTCACGAAACATAGAACTTTTGTGCCTTACAGTTTGTTCAATATTGAACTCTGATGATGTTTGGAGCACGGGTAAGTCCATCGGCAAACGCATGTTTTCGGATTTCAGGAAAGTGAGGCATCATTAACCACACATCAATATTACATCATTGCCCGCGAATACACTTTGTTAGTCGTTCAAAAGTGAATACGAAGGTCAAGGTTATATGACCTGACAGAAGACAGATCCAAACGTTCCGACAAATAAACATAACATAATAGATGTACAGATGAACGTGTCTGATACGATCCATAGCTGTAGTGTTTGTTAGTTAATGAGACAAATTACATTGCTAAATAACATGAAGTGATTTGTAAACATCCGGTGGAGTTACACCGTTGTAAGTTGCCGGAAGCAGAGATACTCAGTCACATCTACAAATTTAAACGCTGCTGTGATCCCTACAAAATGTAACCAAATCAAGAATATCACCCCATACTTCGAAATTTTAAAAATTTCATACAATGTGAGTGTGATCCTTGGACAGATGCTCCAAAAACGTAATACCATCATTAAATATATGTGGTGTCTTTGCAATAAACGGACTGTTTCGTTCAACACCAATCATGTTATTGTAATAACATAATTAATTTTATTAATATCATTAGTGTCACAAAAAGTTGAAATACTAAATGGCAGTGAACATTGTTTTTGGATGTACAACAGTCAGATTCAACCTCTTTGATATAAAATGGAAGTAAGTCATCATATGAAACCAATAAAAAAACACAAAGCCAATGTGTGTTTAAACATAAAATATAAAAGTTAAAATAAATAAATGTTCACCCGAGAATTGGGACTTTTGTTCTGAAATCATTGGTATTATAACGTTATGCCTTTGTGTATAATTGCTTTGAACAACGATATTCTAAGACGTTAAACGTTTCCTGATAAAAACAAAATCTAGCGTTTTACTCTTGTGTCACTATTTGCAGGATCAGGGATCATTTATCATGCATCAACACATACTATGAGGTATGGCATAAGTTATAACATGCGGCGATGGGATAGCCTAGTGGTTAAAGCGTTGGCTCGTCACGTGAGTTCGATTCCCCACATGAGTGCAATGTGTGAAGCCCATTTCTGGTGTCCCCCACCGTGATATTGCTGGAATATTGCTAAAGGCGGCGTAAAACCATACTCAGCCAGTCCCCATAACAAGCCAGTCAGCATGGCTAATGTAGGTAAAGTACGTATCACCTGTACTGGTGTAACTCTGAGGGGGTTGATGGATGGGTGCGTTTGAAAGAGTCTAATTTGTGAATGAGTTTGAAATGAGTGTATGAGATGCTGCTTTTATAATTATTTCAGATATATAACAAACTTCAGCTTAATAACGGCTTTGGTGAAACCAACGACACACATGTGCAGCTAGTAACCATTATCGACGTACCTCACCTCTGTCGACAACAACAGCCAACGACAAGCTATTACCCTTAGTGGATATAGAATCACATCAATGACAGATCCAAATAAATCTATCCATAGTTGACTCTTTAAAAAATGCGAACTGTAATGAGTTATCCAGGAGTGATTGTTCCAGCTATAATAGGAAACATATGTAATCGTAGGCAATACCCAACAGCTAAATATCGTCATTGATACACCATTAAACACAGGGAGTATATCACACCTTGCGCACTAATAGCCGTTCTCGCAGTCAGGTGATTGGAACGGCGTGTGCTCCTTATTTATTTGATATTGATAAATGAGGATACCTCCAGATAGTACTGCTCTTGCTATATTACGGTAAGTTGGTTTTCAATGGACTTTCTTGGCTTTCTTGGCAGTCTTGTATAAGAAAAACTGATACTTGGCTGAAAGAACATTTATTAAATCTCCGACGCTGGATTATTTGACAAAAGTATTCTAAAAACTGTTGGATTGTGATAAAATATTCTAAAAAAGGTTGGATTGTGATAAGATATTCTGTAAACTGTTGGATTGTGATAAAATATTCCAAAACTGTTGGATTGTGATAAAATAATCAACTATAAACTGTTGGATTGTGATAAAATATTCTAAAAACTATTGGATTGTGATACAATATTCTATAAACTGTTGGATTGTGATAAAATATTCTATAAACTGTCGGATTGTGATAAAATATTCTATAAACTGTTGGATTGCTGTCGAAGAACGAATAGCGCAAGACAGTATGTATCTACACAATGACATTTTGTTGCATTAATTAATTTGAAGTTGATTATAAAGTAGCTTCTGTTGATGAAAGTCATGGGAATTCAGTAGGAGAAGTGAAACTAGCAGATTGACAAACTGGGGATTGCGCCGCCATCCAACGTAATAAAACCTCTGATAAAGTGTGACCAACTGCTAACATCGGAAGTATTCCTTTCCAGATACTACTAACATCGGGTTCAAATAGAGCTGAAGGGTTCCCCGCCATGAGTGGACACGAGGACAAGGACCAAGGTCCTCCAGGGGCGTCAGATGAAGCAGAACCCGAGGTACGCGTAAGGGTGTCTGTTGTAAGCTGAAACTGTCAGTAATTCACATGTTGTTATGTTTGCATTTCTGTTGTTTTAAATAAGAGGTGGATGTAATTCATGATTCATTGAATTATGTATCCCGGTGTCCGGGGTTTTCGACGATGTAAGACAAAAACGTATTTTTTCTGTAATATCATTTAAAGTTATATTTTACTAACCCCGAGTGATAAATGATATATTCGTCTATTTCACACAAAAATATCAAGTGTTTCCTACAAAAATAGCGTTGATGACATCGTATCGGCGAAACTGTTGCCGCTCGCCACATCCGGGGTCTTTGTATGGGTTTTCAACGATGAGCCATACTTTTTGCTCCGCACTGCGAGGGAGTGTTGTGATCACATGGCTTCCTATTTATATATTGCCTGTCACCAGCAGACGACTGATCTTACTGAATTTTCGCTGGCTATTTTTTGCCATAAAGGCAACTGATTTTGCATCCGAAGTGGTATTAAAGATCTCGGGTAAATAATATGGACGTTTGTTTACTTTTTATATAACTTTACTTCCCGATTTCCATTATGAATAAAACTTCTCACGACAGCGACCGGGCGTCCGCCCTATCGATGAAACTGCTTGTGCGACCCGATCGCACACATACTCCCCCGATATAGCGCGAGCAGTGCAATCATCGAAATCACCAGAACGTCGAAATCAGCTCGTTTACTCTTTGAAATGTTTGTTGTTTAATACTGCACTTAATTTAATGACGTCTTTTTATAATTAATCGAAACTGAATCAAGCAAGTCAGTGATTGACAATACGAGCACCGAACCACGCAAGTGAGATAACGATATTGACATGTGTCATGTGATCCCGACCACCCCATCCATTTAGTCGGTTCTTACTACAAACATAGGTTCCAAGAACATATATTCTGACCTGGAAATATTGCGGGTTTGGCCCATGAAGCAAATACGTAATCATGAAGCATCACCGTGGTACAACGATCAAGTCCGTGAGGCAAAGAGGAAGAGACACTTTGCTGAGCGCACATGGCGCATCTCTGGCTTGGAGATCCATAGACAATTGTACAAATGTGCCCGAAACAATGTTGCCAAAGAAATCAGGAATGCTCGCGCCCATTACATCAATGAGGAAATTTCTAGGATTGCAGACAATCCAAAACGCTTACACAGCTCTCTCCACAAGATCCTTGGAAAATCTAAGGAAGTCTTACTTCCTCATGGCGAGGAAAAGACATTGGCAGAGGATTTCAACACCTTCTTCAATGAGAAGATCACGAAACTACGAGGTGATATTGATTCTTCTTCTGAGGATGTTGTATTCGGGGAGCCCATTGGTACCAAGCTCAGTTCATTCCGTCCGGTAACAGAATCTGAGGTCAAGAAAATAATGCTTTCGTCAAAACCAACTTCATGTGAGCTTGATCCTATCCCGACAAAATTCCTTTGAAAATACTGGATATCATTCTGCCAATCATTACCAAGATCATCAACCTAAGTTTATCATCAGGTTGTGTACCATCATGCTTTAAGCGAGCTGTAGTCAAACCACTCATCAAGAAAACCACGCTTGACCCTCAGAGCCTCAAAAACTATCGTCCTGTCTCAAATTTGATGTTCATGTCTAAAGTTCTGGAGAAAGTAGTCAAACAACAACTCTCGGATCATCTTTCTCAGCATAACTTGACTGATTGTTACCAATCTGCCTACAGGCAGGCTCACAGCACAGAAACTGCTCTAAATTATGTCTTGAACTCTGTCAGATCTGCAGTCGACCATGGTGAATCTGCTTTGCTTGTCCTCCTGGATTTATCTGCGGCTTTCGACACAATTAACCATGAAATTCTTCTTGAGTGTTTGGTGAAAGAATTTGGTTTGACTAATACAGTTCTTGACTGGCTAAGATCCTACCTTTCAGACAGAACCCAGTCCATTCACATCGGAACGTCTTCATCATCCAGTCACACCCTAACCTGTGGAGTTCCCCAGGGATCAGTTCTTGGACCAATTCTTTTCTCCCTGTATACTCAACCGCTCGGAAAACTGATGTCTGCTTATCATGTGCCTCATCATTTCTATGCGGACGACAGCCAATTGTTTGACAGTTTTAAGTCGTCAGAACAAAGTCAGTTAGAGTGCAAGTCCAACCTTGAAGCATGCCTCTCGAGCACAAGATCCTGGATGTCTGCTAACAAGCTGAAACTTAACGACTATAAAACAGAAACAATGGTCATCTCCACAATCTCAAGACAACGAAACCTTATCATCAAAGATATCTCCATTGGGCAATCTTCGATTCCTTTTTCTCCTCTTGTGAAAAACCTTGGCGTTCTTTTGGACTCAAACCTCAGCATGGACAAGCAAATAAATCATCTAGTAAAGACCTGCCACTACCATCTGAAGAACTTCGGCAGCATCCGCAAAGTCCTAACAAAAGAAGCCACTGCCACCCTTGTGCGGACACTGATTTTATCCCGCCTGGATTACTGCAACAGTTTACTGTTTGGCATCACTTCCTCTCAACTCCATCGTCTTCAGAAAATCCAGAACAAAGCTGCACGCATCATCACTCTCACCAGTCCTCGCTGTCACATCTCTCCCCATCCTAAACTCTCTACACTGGCTCCGTATTCGTGAAAGGATTGATTTCAAGATTCTCTGCCTCACCTACCAGTCTTTCTACAACTCAGGACCTTCCTACCTTCAAGACCTTCTGACACACTACTCTCCAGAAAGAACCCTGCGCTCATCACAACAACTGTTACTTGCTGTCCCGAGCTACAATCTCAAATCATTTGGCTCAAGGACCTTTTCATATGCAGCAGCTTCTCTGTGGAACTCTCTCCCCTATCGAGTTAAAATCATCTCCTTCCCTAAGTACATTCAAAACACGACTAAAGACTCGTCTATTTCTTCGCTACAAGTGACTTCCAATCATCCGTACCTGCCAACTGTATATAGTTTTAACTTGAGCTCAGGAAGCGCTTTGAGCATATCCCTGTGACGTGGAAAGGCGCTATATAAATGGCCTATTTTTATTATTATTATTATAGAAGTGACGTTCACATCAACAAGACTCTCTATTCTATACCCGTGAAGATCCGGGTTAGATTTGATCTTCAGTAACCCATGCTTGTCGTAAGAGGCGCCTAACGGTATCAGCTTGTCAGGCTCGCTGACTTAGTTGACACATTTCATCGGTTCCCAATTGCGTAGATCGATGCACATGCAGTTGATCACTGGATTGTCTTGTCCAGACTCGATTATTTTCAGACCGCCGCCCTGTAGCTGGAATATTGCCGAGTGCGGCGTAAAACTAGACGCACTCACTCTATTCTATAAACCAGACCAATCATGTCTTTTCAATGTAAATCATGATTGATTATTTTGATAATCCGACACATGCTATATACCTTAAGTGTGGCAAGTAGATTTCAGCCAGGATCCTTCCTGCAATGATAATTGTCTTTAACAACATTTTAAGCAACATGCTATGAAATGTTTATTTTTTGTCCACATAACCAGCCCTCTATAGAACTCACGTACTGTTAGTCTCGGCGTTTAACTCCGTCAGACGTCATTTTCAGTTTCAGAGAGTTTGCTCAGTGTAAACAGAAGTTACTCATGAACGTGTTTGCTCGTAATTCATTATGAAACCTCACGTAGGTACGTTACACATTTAATACAGTATTGTTGTGTACTGTTTCTACCTAGAATCATTTCAGGGAATTAGCTCTGGAATCTCCTTCAAAAACAAACAGAGAGGGATCGTAGGTAAAGCAGGAATGATTCTAGTGTGCAACCATCCTGTATATATAACCCGAGATCTCCTGTCTGAATTTGAAAGCAAGTCCGTACGCGTAAAATATGCCAATTTTGACCCTGTTGTACATTTATGAAATATTGACACCACTCCACGTGGGATAAGGACATATTGGTTTGGTAAATGTTACAGTCATACATATGGATATCTTTTACCCTTCTCAACAGATTTAATTGTTTGAAATTGCACAATATTTATTCAGAAATCAAACTCACCAACTACCAAAACAGTCTAGAACAACTATAGACGACACCGTGCATACTGAGTATATGGCTTTCATCACAAAAGCATGTCATTGCTTTATGTTTGTACATGCACAATGTTCACAATGAGTACCATGCATTAATGATCCGACTGGATACCTGTGATGTAAATGTAATTATGTAAAGAGCTTTACATTGTACCATTTCCATAGATTAATGCATCAGACTGTTATGGTAGATTCAGCCTTTCGTGAATTGTTCTAAGCGTATGTATTGGCGTGCTGGTCTATGATGTCCTGTAATGCCAGAACTATTTACCTGTAATTACTTCGGTGATAAACGTGATTGAGTGGACCCGGCCCTTCACTCCCAGAACCATTCCGTGTATTCTGTTTCATGTTACTGACATGGGATATGGCTGTGTGTAATCCATTCCATACGTTATACATTATGTCTATCTACTTTCACCTTTGCTGTTATATTATTGATTAACGTGGTTTACTGAAGGATAGGCACCCGTGAAGAGACACCTCATCGTGGTGGGTGCTGGGTAACGCTAAGCGCTCTTCAACCCCACGTTGTGGACCCGGGGGTATCTTTGGTCCACCAACCCGTTTGCCGTGGGTTGCGCCCCTGTGTCTGGTGGTTGAGGGCACTGGTTCCAGGAACAGTGTTCCTTTGCCCAACACACCACTTCGCCCCTTACTTCACTTAGACGGGTGGTTGAATGGGCCCGGTTGAACCAATCGGCTGGTCATGTCGAGCCCTGTGCATCAATTGTATTTGCACAAATTATATTATAAACAATATTTTTGACTTTAGGTCTTGGCTCATTTTTGTTTCTAAAACATCACTTGATTTTGATATATTTCCAAACCCACTGAGGTGTTTTAAATGCCAAAAGTTTGGTCATGGGGTAAATTCATGCAAAAATCCAATTACTTGTGCTCACTGAGATGAGAAAACACATGTTACCGAAGATTGCGATAGCAACTTTAAAATATGTGTCAACTGTTCTGGACAACATTCATCCTTGTCGAAAGATTGTCCAATACGGAAGAGACAATTGCAGATTAGTAAAATCAAAACTACTCAGAACATTTCAATGTCACATATGTTCTCGTCACGATATTGCTGAAATATTGCCGATGTGACGTTAAATAATAACTCTCTCTCTCTCTCTTACTGAAGGATAATGCCAGCAAATTCACCCTGTAAACTAGTCACTAGCTAGCAAATAATCAGTTTGAACGTCAATTTGACTAGAGAGAGACAAAATGATTAGACCCAATTATTCAAGTGAGTGAGTTTAGTTTTACGCCGCACTCAACAATAATCCAGCTATATGACGGCGGTCTGTAAATAATCGAGTCTGGACCAAACAATCCAGTGATCAACACTATGAGCATCGATCTACGCAATTGGGATACGGTGACATGTGTTAACCAAGTCAGCGAGCCTGATCACCCGATCCCGTTAGTCACCTCCTGCAACAAGCATGGGTTACTGAAGATCAGTTCTAACCCTGACCAAATATTTAACCTGACATGTAGCATGAATCAGATTGACTAGCATCATGAATGAAATTGACTTATCAGATTTGCCATAATGACTAGAGACAGAAGTCAAATTAACATCAGTCAGTCTGATGTTTGCATTGTCTTCACCCAACAAAAGTTCCCTCAGAAACAGATTGACTACTTATACGAGACAATTTAACAAAATAGATTTGTCATGGCGGCAAGACATGGAAGTCAAATTGACTAGTTAATAATGTTAGTTAATTTAATGAATCAAACGTGTTATAATGACTAGCTACAATTTACATAAGTCATATCTACGTATGACATTAGTCAATTTGACTAGTCTTCTTTCAGTCACGACCCGTGAAGATCCAGGTTAGATTTGGTTTTCGGCAACCCATGCTTGTCGTATTATGTGGCCAAACTCAGTGTCTTGGGTAATGGCCTGACCCGCAGCCCACAGGATGATATATATCTGATGATTATTTTTCTGACTGTGGCATAATAGATCATTCATTTACACCCTCTAAATTCACATTTAGTTGAATGGTATCTCAATGTTTGGCCCGGATAATCACGTTGTGTGGATTTGGTCCAAACCAGAACAGCGACTTGTACCGTGGTCCGTGTTTTATTGTGAAAGCTAATTCTATTTTTCAGGTGTTTACCATGGACTATGGAACTGGTCAAGAACTGACCATCCCGACAGCTGATGCGGTAGAACCCCCTGATGGAGGAAAGGGATGGTGCTTAGTATTCTTTGCTATGATTTTAGCATCTTTTAGGGAAGCATTCATCGTTCTTCAACAACCCACACTATTCTTTATGAAAAGTATGACAAGAACAAGTACCGGTAACTCATCTGGAGGCTTCGGACAAAGCCAGGGGTTCTTTTTACCAACCTTAGATTCCCTGTCAGTGGAAGCACGAACAATAGTGGACATTCACAACGCTCTCTTTTCTATATCAGGTATGTCTTGTAAGCAATAACAAAATCAAAATGTTTGCTCGTCTTTGAATGTTTCTACACCGTTATAATCAGACATTGTTCAAAGACATGTATTTTTAACATCTGTGATTGTTCAAGGTAAAGTATTTTAAAGATAAACTGTTCCAGCTCAAGTATTTTAAAGATTAAAAAATGTTCAAGAACAAGTTTTCTAAAGATCAGACATTTTTCTAGGGCAAGTATCTCAAAGACAATAAATTGTTCATGGACAAGTATTTCACAGATCAGAAATTGTTCAAGGACAGGAATTCTAAAGATCAGAAACGTTTCAAGGACAGGTATTTCAAAGATCAGACACCGTTCAAGGACAAGTATTTCACAGATCAGAAATTGTTCAAGGACAAGTATTCCAAAACTCAGAAAGTTTTCAAAGACAGGTATTTTAAAGATCAGAAATCGTTCAAGGACAAGTATTTTAAAGATCAGAAACTGTTCAAGGACAGCTATAATAGAGATAAGAAATTGTACAAGGACATGTATTCTCAAGATCAGAAATTATTCAAGGACATGTATTCATGCATGTGACATGACCCTAGCGTGTAGGTCTGGTGACAGTCTCTTGATTAGGAAAACAATCACATTGAAAAGACTAGAACATCAGTTGTCATGACGTGTATGGTTAACTCAGCATTGGCTTCAATGCCGTTGCTCCTTATGGCTGTATAGATGCTGGTAATGGGCCTGGAAAGTTAAGCTTATACTACAATAAACGCTAAATATGTTGAAGAAATCTCCATGTAAAATGGACCCGTGAAGATCTATGTTACAATTTAATAATTGCCCCAAAGTTTGAATGTTAATATATCCATTATGAAATCTATGGAACAAGACACCTGCCTAACGGGCATAGTCCTGGGTGAGGGCCAGATTGTAGCGCTAGGAATTCTTAGACAATCCTCTTGCAAAGCTGCATGTTTCAAATTTATAGTACACCATTATGAAATACCGAAAGTCCTTTTGTTCAGTTGGAGTAATGCAGGTCTTTATGTCTTTACCTTGACCAGGGAATGACCTGCACGTCTCTATTCCTGAATATATCCATTAAACCACAAGTTGTGTGTAGACCGACCGTAACCGATAGGAAACCACACAAACGACTCATCTTATGCGCAAATATAAAACGGCTGGCCTCATCAAGATACCGAACCCTGTCACAATTATTGAATGTCGTACAAATAAACTTGCCATGTTATGCGTTGACAGTGTCCATCACGTCACCAACATGATTCTCTTATAGTTGATCGGCTAATCTTAATTTTAAATGAACTAAAGATGAATTTTTAATCCGTTACGGTCAGTTACGTAAAAGTACAAATGCGATTATGTCTGTGAGATTGTTACTGTTTCTTACCGTTTCAGTAATGTTTCGTTGTAATAGTTTCAAAACTAGTCATGCATTTGTTTTTCTTACCCGACTGACATCAACCAACGCTATTTTTGGATCGAACATACAAAAAATCTTATCATTTCATCAATCGCGTTACAGGAATCCTAAGTGGAACTCTGACGGTCTTGACTGGTTACCGGTGGGTGGCGCTGATCGGAAGTGTTCTGACTGCCGTGGGGTATCTCGGGGCTGCGTTCTCTGATATTTCCAATGTCCATCTCATCTCCTTCCTGTATGGGGCATTACCAGGTTAGCAGTGTCCAATAGTACGTCAGTAAAGCCTGTGGATCTAATATTTTCAAATTTGTGGTAAATGGTTACGTGTGAGCGTAACGAACAGAAAACTGGTATTGCTTTAATGGGTGAGTGAGTTTAGTTTTACGCCACACTCAGCAATATTCCAGCAATATGGCGGCGGTCTGTAAATAATCGAGTCTGGACCAGACAATCCAGTCATCAACAACATGTGCATCGATCTGCGCAATTGGGAACCGATGACATGTGTCAACCAAGTCAGCGAGCCTGACCACCCGATCCCGTTAGTTGCCTCTTACGACAAGCATGGGTTACTAAATATCAATATTCTAACCCGGACCTTCACGGGTGATACTGCTTTAGAAAACAACCATTATTAGGTCAAGGGCCCTCGGTGTAAGCATGGACTGTGGACTAAAACCATACAACACTCATATATGTAGATTTGAATTCAATACAGATGACACTTCTGTTCATTTGCGCTGATCATATTTCTAGAATTGTCACCTCCAGTCACCAAAGGTATAAGCATTTCAGTCTTTACTCTCTCATAAACTGAAAAGTCTGAATATAAACAAATTTTTCAAAGAGGTACGAAATCACACTTGGTTTGAGGCATAATTTAAAGATTAGATATTCCAATATTTAACACATTCTGTTACATTTCAAATGCTAAGTTTCACTCTGAAAGTTATATTCCTCTTGTCATATACTAAGACAATTCCTCTTGTCATACTTCAGGAATCGGGCACAACTTAATCGTTGTGGCATACATCACGGCAATACTGCAATACTTCAGAAGGCGCCGCCTGGTGGCTCTACTCATCCCCCATGTTGGTGCCATCCTGGGATCAATTGCTTTTTCTGTCATGTCAGTTCTCATTTTTTGGATCCTTCGGTATCAGCAGCTGGAAGAGTTATCTCCTCTTTCAAGCGGGTGTTGCTGGTATCATGATTCCGTGTAGCCTCTTTTTGAAACCCCTGAATGCCCGGATGAAAGGTCCAGCCAATCAAAACCTAATATCTTATATGATGGGTATGGATGAACTGAAAGTGTTCCGGTCTCTACTACTCTACGTCTTCGCGGCGGTCTGTTGCTGTTGGGGCGGAGGTAGGAAATAATGCATACCGAAATGTTTTGTGATGGTTTGTTTGTTTGTTGTTTAAAGCCACACTCAGCAATATTCCAGGAATATGACGGCGGTCTGAATATTGTGATCATAGAGAACATGCACATTTATATTGAAATTTGTGTTTTCATAGAGTAAACTATAAATGTGTACCTTTTCTTTTTCTACAGCCTGCAGAAGAAAACACTTATTTCTTGCTTATTCAATGCACTCACGAACAAGGCAAAATTGCATTTATACATTATTTAGACCGATTTATCTTGCAGTTAGACCCATTTTAATTGGGCCTTTTCCCATTGGAATTTGCCCATATGGCACTTGATGAATTAAATAGTGTTTTCTATTTGAAGGTATCAGTGTTATTGAGGCCAAACTACCGAGTTTCAAGGGTCTGCTCGTGTTCCTGCCCGCTGGTCAGCTATTGGTGTACGTCATACTGTTGACCAGTCTCGTGGGCACCTGCTTCTCATGCTGCATCTCCAGTAATATCCGTCTGAGGAGTGTGGTCATTGCGATGGCTGTCTTCAGTGGAATCCTGTTCCTCCTCAACATGATGGCCAATATGCTGTATGACTTCATCTATGCCATCGTCTATTCCATACTTGTCGGAGTGTTGAAAGGTAAATACAGTTAAACATCGATGTGTCGCTCTCGATGTAATATCTTGGTCCTTTCGTATTACGTCTGTATGTTCCAATTGTGTCGAATCTTGGATAACTCGAAGTATTTACGGCGTCCGACACAATGGACTGTAACTCGCTTATAGCCAGCTGAGACCTGTGTAAGGATGTAGCTTACACATATGACATAATATAGCCACGGAATTCCCTTACAGAATTATACCCCTTTGGCGAACCAGAATCCTGATCATGGTAAATGCCCTGATTATGACCATAATACCATATAGGATCACGTTCAGTCATTGAATGAATGAGTGAGTTTACTTTTACGCCTCTTTCAGCAATATTCCAGCAATATCATTGCAGGTGACACCAGAAATGGGCTTCACACATTGTACCCACGTGGGAATCAAACACGGGTCTTCTGAGTGACGAGCGAACGCTTTAACCACTGGACTACACCACTAGGCCCCAGGATCACTTTCAGTTTCAGCATTGATTAAGCATGCGTGTTGTGATGTAACTGAAATAGTGTTAAGACCTGACACACAGACGCTATCACACTCACAAAACGTGGAGGTTTTACCATAATGTAAAATGATTGGACAGAGGTGTCTCAGGCCAGGATCGTTAAACAGGGTTCTAATACAATATATACCCGAAGAAGACCTTGTGCCTGGTATCAAAGACCCTGTGAACATGCAACTCTATTACACAGTGATAAAACCAAAGTGACGCTCCCTGTGCCAGGGGCAACCGTTGACTCGTCACACTGTGATACAGCTTACTGGTATTTACTCCAGTTATTGAAATATCGACAAGAACCTAGTAAAGCCCGCTTGATCATAACGCCGGAGATATGGGTTGCCCTCACTTCATGGGTACAATGTGAGAAGTCAATATTTGGTAATTACTCCAGTTATTGAAAATTCACAAGAACATAGTAAAGCCAATCTCACTTGATAAGTATATTCCTCATCACCGTGAACACCATGAAAATAGGATTGCAACAATCTCAACCTTTATTATAAATGTCCAATGGACAGAATGGTTAAGAAACCCTTAATCCCTGCGTGTTAACGCGATGTTACAGGTATAGGAGAACCTTTACTGGAGTATTTCATTCCACTGCTCCTCGGGGACGACAACGCTGCGATCGGTGCAGGCATTTTGACCTTTGGTCAGGGCCTTGGAAGTCTGTCGATGCCAAGCATAGCGAGTAAGCATATCTTTATTGCCTACATTTGGACATTTGCCTTATGGTATTTGTAGGTATTCTAAAATGTGTTTGCAGTCGTCGAAGTAATTGTTCTGTGAATAATGTACTATGAGATTGGTTATTAACAGTTTTTTTATTTACCACACTGGTTACTCTCTATTTCACTGCAGAATTTGACAAACGACGTACTGATTGTAATAACCACAGAACTCCGGATCATGGGTAATCGGGAGCATGTTGTTGATGGGGTCTGGGAGTTGGAATTGTTTTGAAGTATATTTGATCCAAATTCTGGAAAATAAAAATAAATTGCCTCGGATGTTTAAGAGGTTATTTAATGTCTGGTTCCTTTGTCTATAGTTAAAGATTTCATAACCTCATGGTCGCTGCAAATTCAGTAAAAATATGGTCTAATAACGTACTGAGCTACGAACTAACTTCAACTCAAGCAGATGTGCTGCAAAGCTGTTCACCCCTGCTCCAAATGTCGTTAAGTAGAATGTCCTTGCAGACTAACTAAACACAGCAGTATCACTGTCATTGGGTTGCAATGTAATATATACCACCGTTAATATTACCACAATGAAGAATCTTCCTGTTTAATGTTGCAGACGAAATCGAAAAATCTACACAAAAAGTAGACGGGTGTTTCTATTTGGCCGGAGCTATCTTCTTCCTGTCAGCTGCCTGCATCATCTTTGCCTACCGCTTACACTTGCGTGAGACCAAACGTGTGGTAGTCCCAGATGATCCAGACGAAAAGCCTTCTCAGGATACAGAAGTAACTGGGATGGATATGGAACGATTCTGATACAGCGAGGCACCCCACGTCATAACGCGGAACATATAGCCACATGCCAGCTTTTGCATATTATAGAACCATACATTTCACATGATCATTTGCTATATTTAGTAAGGAAATCTCAATGTGCTTACTATTATTATTCACGATGAACGTCAGTGCGTTGCAAATTGGATGTTCTTTGAGCAATTGAAATACTCCATATCGTTCCGATTACATACACATTGTCTGTTTAATGCTTGCATCATTCGTTATAGAAGGTAAAAAGACCTGTCAACGTTGTACGTGAAGGACATTGCTGTGTTTTGGGCTCTGTATGAAATCAGGCCAAATCAAAGTGAAACACGCATGAAACAAGTAAAGTTTATGTGCTCGTTTAGTGAATCGTCATCTTAACAATTAATATTCTGTGTGTGTGTGTGTGTGTGTGTGTGTGTGTGTGTGTGTGTGTGTGTGTGTGTGTGTGTGTGTGTGTGTGTGTGTGTGTGTGTGTGTGTGTGTGTGTGTGTGTGTGTGTGTGTGTTAAGCCTAGTGGTTAAAGCGTTCGCTCGTCACGCCGAAGACCCGGGTTCGATTCCCCCCATGGGTACAGGATGTGAAGCCAATTTCTGGTGTCCCCAGCCGTAATATTGCTGGAGAATTGCTAAACGCGGCGTAAAACTAAACTCACTCACTCACTCACTGATATTCGGTGAAACTCCGCAGTCCAGCACAGAATTGTTGACTTTATCAATATGTGTTTACAATGACTGTTCACATGAATTTGATTATCTGTTAATGTGAATAATTTGTATTGTCATTTTGCTTATTGGGGAATAAAGGGGAAGAAAAGGTTATTTTGCATGAAGCTCCATGTACAAAGTGAAACATACAAACCAGAGTGGGTATAAATATTGTAGATAGATACAAATATCTTCTTTTTATCATGATCATAGTAAATAAGATAAACATGATCCATCAGGAGTGTTTGTTTTAATATGGAAATATCAATCAAGTCTTAGTTAATAGCTATTTGCTTACCCTTTGTCAACCAAATAAATATCTATCAGTCAGTTCGATGCAAGATTAAATTAGAAACGGCGAAACATGTAAATATCGCCTAGACATGATTATCGATCATATCACAAATAGAAAGACAAATACTCATAATCCATTCGCCACTAACGTTTCGGTTTTAGTTCAGTTCAAGAGAACAGATGTATACATGCTGGGCTGAACATCTATGCGACTGATCTATCTCTAACACCAACGGGCAAGACCGCCTCCGTGGTGTAGTGGTTAGAGCGTCCGCCCGGAGAGCGGAAGGTCGCGGGTTCGATCCCCGATCGCGTCATACCAAAAGACGTTAAAATACTAGTATTGTACTAGTTGGTCCCTGCCTGGCGCTCGGCATTAATGGGTACAACAAGGACTGGTCGGCTCGGAGTCAGTATAATGTGTCTGAGTGGGGTATTCATACTTCACTGCGGCATGGTATCTCAGTGGGCTAGCACTATAAAACCAGCTTAAGTCTGGGCTAGTAGAAGCAGCCGCACATACACATTCACACGTATGCACGTCGTCATATGAGCGAAATATTCTCAAGCACGACGTTAAACCCAATTTCATCTCACCTCACAAACGGGCAAACCCACAGATTGAAGACACATCTACTGAGTAATCGGATGGAAAAGGGCACATCAACAACCGTAATGATGTGAAGGTCGAAAGGACCCCCAAAACCAAGTCAATGGCAGAGACACGTTCGCCGATGAAATGAGTGACGAATCACCTTCTTAACATCATCATGGAGTGACAAGTAGATTCTGTGTAACATCTGTAACTTAAAAAGAGGAGGTAGTGAGACAATATGTGACAAACATAATGTTTGTTTGAATTATAACTGTCTAATTAATGTATAGAATCTCTTGTTTACTCGGATTGCGTTACATCGTTTTCATAAGCGAATGTAATAAAACAGTATCAATTTCAGAACTTCAAATGCCAACTTGCAAATAAGTTACATACAAAGTCTATGGAAACTACTTGAGACAATCAATATTTTAATAATCACCTGTTAATAAATCGGTTGAAGCAAATGTACCACGTGCACTTCTGTGAGGCCATATTTTAGGGCTATGTAAACTTCTTTACCGATAATACCCCTTATAGATGCCATAAAGTTCAACAACGTTGTGTCGGTGTTTGTTTAAGATCTTGTTTTGTCTGGCAATAAATAACTTCAAAGACACCGCCGGTTTACTGGTAGCATGAACCACAGAAGAACAATGGATTAATGCAAATACACCTGATGTTGATTGGTTACATTTATTGTAAACATTGACTAGATACAATGCGAGCAGTTGCAGGTATGATCACATATATCAGTGCCCCTGTTACTGTAGATAAACATATACAAAGGCAATGTATAGAAGTCATTTATGTTTCATAACTCATCTTTGATTTCTACTGCATTGTTTCACACTGATATTTCCACTGTGTGACAGGTCTGATTAACCTCTGCAGAATCAATATACCTAGGATGTTTCTACTGTGAAGCTAATAGCTCTGTCTACACCGACACCGCGTTTGTGCAGGATCCGTATCTACTGTGTTAACCTATGATGCCCCAGTGCATCCATCTACATGTATGTGTCATAGGTCTCCAGTAAATAACGTTTTGGAGACCGAATGTAACTCTATCTGTTGTTATTTTTGTGTGAAGAAAGAGTACCATTACAAACATTTTCCCCAAACAAAGGTATTTATGTTCCCTTACATCCCACTACCCATAGAAAATGTTTAAAACCGGTTTACTGGAACCACGTGAAAAGAACAATGGTGTAATAAAGAAATTTCCTTGGCCTATTTGTATTGGCAAATTGACTAGGAAATACCTGTATGTGTTTATCTTTCGTTGTTGTGTTTGTTTTCTGTATTTGTTTAAATGTTCATTGTATGGCAGTTTTATGATTTCACATCGTGACTGTCTATTGCAATATATGAAGTGGGACAAAACTCTTGTCCGATAAATAAACATCATTGTCCGATATGGAAACACCCTTGTCCGATAACTAAACACCCTTGGAGAATGAGATATCGTTTCACCGACCCTTAATTTGCAATGGGAATCAACTGTACTGTACAATACGTTATACATAAATATCCATACATCCACCCAAACACACACGCACATACAAACATACGTACATACACACACACACACACACACACACACACACACACACACACACACATACATACATACATACATACATACATACATACATACATACATACATACATACATACATACATACATACATACATACATACATACATACATACATACATACATACATACGTATATTTACCTTAGCCTCATTTATTGACCACGTATACATAACTTAAGGCCTAGCCGTTTCCCCAGTGTAGAAATATCCAATTCACCTATAGACACACAACACACTTCAGTATGTATCGACACGTATGTTTCACAAGCTGCTTATTTGATCTACATGGATTATTATAGATATAAGATTTATCTACGTCTGAAGTCCACCACCTGCTCATGCAGATGTGTTAATATAAATATGTATACATAGCTGACGTAAAATATAATCTACATGTATAAAGACGAAGAAATTGCGATTTTCCTTTGATGTCAAAATACGGATACAATCAGGTTAATGTTCCACGAAAGAGTGTACAAGCTCTTGTGTCAGGCCCAATAAATATAATTGCATAATTAATTTTACCTTTGTATCAACATGCTTACCGAACAGGTAGGAACAGATTGGTCTGGTACAAAATGTGTCTCGCGAACGTAATGAAAGGTAAATGTACATTTATGCATACTACCAATACTAACACAATGCCTCAGACTAGAATCAGCTATGTTATGTAATTCATTGACTTAAATGTACTGTTTCAACTCCATCTTTGTTGGAGGTGAGGTCGGGAAGTCCAGATCCTTGGATACCGTGATGAAGGGTTGGAACTTCCGGTTATATGTCGATACCCGGATGTTCTGAAGGCTCTAACGGTATGTTGTCGTCTGGTCAGCAATGGCGGATGAAGGGAGAAGGTATCGTGGTCGTACACAAGACCTTTGAGGTCACGTTTTCTAGACACAGGGAACGCATTCTTTCCATTTCCATCCTTTATACCTTTAATCTTTTTCTCATCCTTTTGTGGAGTGAAGTTGGTCATGTACACACGAACAGGGCCAAGGAGTCTGCCATACACACAGTAGCAACAGCCATGAGGACATGGCAGTGATAACCTACACATCACATCATCTCCCATAGCACCTTTTTTCACCATTGGGCAACTATTAGGGGTTCCTCTGCCACTTAACATGGCACTTTTCCTTCCTGTAGGTTTGGAGCCTTGGGTCTTCAGGGCGGTGAAACTGGATGACACAACGGAGTTTGTGGTAAGGTTTGGTCTGAGTGTAGGACTGGGCGTGGGAAGCTTGGATAAACTGGCCCGTGGTAGTAAGGACCTACTGGACATTCTCCTAAACAGGCTCTGCTCCGCTTCTTTAGAACACAGAGTGCCTGGTTGGATTCCCATCAACTCTATTTTCACCATTTTGAACTGGAAGGAGTATGTCGGTATCCTTGACGCTTTCCACAATAACACAAAAACTAGCACATTTTGTACATGCACATATCACTTACTGATGTGAAATGCAGTTTGAATCATTTCAGTGAGAATAGATTTCATCCAATAAGGTCGACTCCATCGCAATCGAAACTATATTGGGACTATCACCGTTGTCCCACCGTCCACAACGACACTGACCTCCCATGATTCACATCAGTTAATGCATCAAAGGTTCTTCTGGGATGAAAATATGCAACATCTCTGCTTCCCCTTATTTACAGTCATAATGTTACGAAAGGATTAAAAATTACACAAACCTCAATGGTTCCTTGACTCAAATTAATCCAACACAAGACAACAATTCCATGGTGTTATCCAGTTCCCACACAACCATATAATGTCCCAAAATCCACGCTCACGCCATACGTAAACACACATTGTTCCACTAATAAACCTCTTCGCCAGACAAACCACTTGTATTCTAATATGTCATAATTCTCCACTGCCTGGCGTTTTGCTATTAGCCATTCGTTAAGTAAACTTTGTGAGAGGAGCCTGGCTCCAGCTAAAGTAGCCAATAACGATTGGCTGAGGCCACTCCTCTCTAAGTTAATAACATTCC